AATATTGCAGTGATATGGGCACGTGATGAGGAGGGAAGATGATTATATAGGCAAGAGGGTTTTGGATATGGAGGTGGAGGGGAGAAGGAAGAGAGGAAGACCAAGGAGAAGGATTGCGTGGATGGAGATATTAGAGAGAAAGGCCTTGTTGGGGACGAATACGAAGACCGAGGAGAGTGGAAACGTGCTGTCAAAAATAGCGACCCCGTATGGATACGGGAAAAGCTACAGAAGAAGAAGAACATGAATAGAATTAAATACACCACGAAAATCACATGTGCGCATATTTAAGTAGCATTGTCAACTGAAATTAAAAAAGACCATCCTAGAATCATTCTCTAACATCCTCTATTCACCTGAAATAAACACACACAAAAAACAAACAGAATGGAATAGATATTGAACATGTCTCCAAGAGACTGACAGATGACTACCAAGCAAAACTTTTAATTTCTATTCAGATCAGGTCTTAGTGATGAAGAGATTCATCGAATACAGCATAGAGCTTAAGACAATTCAAAGATATCACAGAAACAACAACAAACCCTGAATTAATAAGGCGTAAATCTCAAAGTTGCGATAAAAAGCCAGAAACTAAAAAGTTGGGATATAAAAAAATTTACAAAGAATGTATATATTAATACATTCTCCAGATTCATCTACGCTTCAGGTTTCTAAGGCAGAAGGAGATGTAAAAGTCTTGTTATCTGCTAAAAATAAAGTCGGGAAAAGTACTGTAAACCATTACACCAACAGCAGTTATATTTGATCTCCATAGGACTAAAAAACTATTCTTATGCCAGTAGTCCTATCTTTCTCTAGCTAGAGAAGTAAGCACTAAAATGGCTACTTTAGGGAACTCGTGTTATTTATTTTCTATCCTAATGATAACTCTAGTTTTATCGGCCACGGAACCAAATAGAACGACAAACTTTTCCATTAGGAAAGCCCGGTGACGCCCCCAAGTGGCACAGCGGTATATCTGCGGACTTACAACGTTATAATCGGGGTTTCGATACCTGTGGTGGACAAAGCACAGATAGCCCATTATGCAGCTTTGTGCTTAACTAACAAACAGCAACAGCTCGGTGACAATCATTATTTCTCTAATTTAGTTGTTCGTCTTGCATATCATCCTCTATTTTTATATAGTTTAAATTCATCAATAAATATGCAAAGAACGACGTTGTTTTTTATTGTAAAATACAAAGCTATAAAATGGGCTGGTTATCTGTGTTCTTCCCAATGCGGTTATCGAAACCCGATTTTTAGGATTATAAGCCCTTAAACTCACCACTGAATCACCGAGGTAGTAAAGAGATGTTTTATGATTTTTATATATGAATAATCCGTTTTACGCTACTGATTAATAGGATACATTTATACAAGTGGAAGCTGAAGTACGGTTGTCCAAATTCAAGTAGAACAGTTTTTATTTATAGTTAATTAAAAATGCCCGGATTCGGTGTTTTTGTTGTTGTTGTTTCTACTACTTCTATCATTTCACTTGGTAGTTAAACATAGTAGTTATTTCCTCTATATATGTTAAATGTTATATTATTATAACAAGCTTAATCGTTTAGAAATACATAAAAAACAAACGTGTCACGTTTTGTACAACAGGTTTGATGTTTATTCATTAGATTTCATATCTTATCAAACCTTTTTTCATCGAACATATACATTAGAAAGCCTCCACATATTAGTATATTCAGTCACACCGTGGCGTGTTAAAATATTCAGACGAAAGACCCGACCCAGACCCAGTAGGAAAATGTCGCAATCGACCATCAACTACCTAAGCCTTTCTCCTATCTTAGAGGGTGGGAATTATTTCTTCTGATACCTGGTTTGAATCTTCGCATAATATATTTGCTTACGTGGAACTCACTAACTAGTAGGAGGCTGTGTAGGAAGAGATCTTATACACGTTCATGTTTTCTACGACCGTGATTTTCCGTAAGATACACTGTGCGGACTTGTGTTGGTTTGAAGAACGAGATTCAAAAAACAAAAAGAAAGAAAACCCCTTCTGTGTACGAACTGCAGCTGATACACGAAACAATAAGTTGTTGGAGTTGCTGGAGCATTAAACTAATATTCTAAAGACAGGATTATTTAAAGATTGTCTTGTGAAGTGATTTTGAGCGAGTGATGTTTCTTTTATGGTTTATCCATACGCTATTTCACTAGCTGCTGTATTATTACAGACTTTTTCTATCGTGTTTAGGAATAAATTGTAGTTAAAATATGTTACGATAGAATAGCAGTTTCTGAAACTATTCAGAACTGAAAGTAGCTCAGAGAGAGACACACCGTATAGGAAGTTGAATTCATTGTTCTCGAAAAGAAAGTTGGGTATAGTTATTTTTCTCGGAATTAAATTTAATTTTTACTGTTTATGAACAGACGCAATATGATTTTTAGTTGATCTTCGGCCTACCTAATTCATTTATAATAAACGGTGAGAAGATACTAGTATGTCAATAGAACAAAAGGCGATGTTTGAAAGGATTAAGGAAGACTGACACATTTTAGTTTCGACAAAGAATATAATCCAATTTCCTTATCGTGATGGAAAGATGGATTCAGTTCATTGGTACTGATTGCTTTCGTCTGTTGATAACTGTAAATGTTCTGTTGTCGGTTTTCCTCTTGTGTTTGTTCATCAGAAGATTTTTTAATCATTCAGAGACACCTTTAAAGAAAACAACACAGATAGCTCCTCCAGAAGAACACAAGAAGAGCCAGAAAAAAAAGATTCAAGAAATCGATCAACTTGGAGTCCTGTCTGAGAGACGCTCTAAGGAACTGAAGCTTCTGAAAATGCAACTTAAGCGCGCATGTTTAGGATTCGAAGCATTTAGTATTGTCATCAAATACTTGACAGATGAAGTAAGTTTTGTGTATTATTGATTTATGATCTTTGACAGAAGTTAGCTGTTATGCGTCACTATTTAGTCACACATAGTTGAAAGATAAGTTTCGAGTATCGTTTTGTGTGTGTTCATAACAATTATGGTTATATTTATAAGTAAATCTTCCTCTGATGTGTCTGCAATGATTTAGCAGTATCATAGGAAGATATTTTGAAATATTAAAAAATACGATGAAGTATAAAACTTGTCAACAGTGCAGAGGGGATTAATTATGAATAGCATTGTTGCCCGTTTGCTCAAATCCTACAATACAGTAAGATACATTATACACACAAGAAATGTAGCACTTGAAGGATGAAAGGAAATTTGAGATTAACTCTTATAACCAGTGCTGTAGATGTAAAAAAAAAGAAGTGGTGGAACTAATATCTTGGGTGGTTGGGGCTCACAACAGGTAGTGGAGTAGTGGGTACTAGGGGTGTACTTAAAAGAGCTGTGTTTAACCTCGACTACACCTCTTTTTATAAGTATAACGTGGCCAGTAAAGCTATTATGTCTGTCATTGCTATTTTGTCGGGAATTTTGTTGGTTAGAGAAAATATGTTAATAGGCTTGGTACGTTTTTGTTTTGTTTCGATCCTTCTTCCTTGAGTTTCACAGGTTTCGTTGTCTGTAATCAATGATCCTAGACTTCAACAACTATTGTTTTTTAATAGGCTTGGTACGTTTTTGTTTTGTTTCGATCCTTCTTCCTTGAGTTTCACAGGTTTCGTTGGCTGTAATCAATGATCCTAGACCTCAACAAGTGTTGTTTTTTAATAGGCTTGGTACGTTTTTGTTTTGTTTCGATCCTTCTTCCTTGAGTTTCACAGGTTTCGTTGGCTGTAATCAATGATCCT